ACTACACTATCTTTTGAAGGAACATTTGTTAGATTTAATTCCGCGATAACGATGTACTCAAGGTCACCTTGTGGGTAAGCGGTAACTTTATGAACTTGCAACGCTAAACTCCACGGTTCGATCCCACGTGGTGTACAGAGTGCAAATAATCCATTGCGCAGCTTTGCGCTAAAAAACATCGCACGAAAGTAATAATTAGAATCCAACGGTTTGACAAAACTACTGAATTTTTTTTCTAAAAACTAAAACTTTTCTTCCAAATAGATTAAAATAAAATATTTATTCAAATTTAGTAATATAATAGATACACCAAAAAAACTGTTACGGTCTTACTGACATCTCGCTTGGTGGCAGCACTACCGTTATTGTTTTACCTGTTCAGTGTCGCCAAAATAATGCCGAGTACTAGAATGACTAAACAAAAAAGCTGGAAAAAAAAACGTAATGTTGTGAACACCCAGTGCTTTGTTTGAGGGAGGGGATACCGTTGTGGCATGTAACCACCAGGCGGACGAGAAGTTCTATGATTAAAAGAGTCGATGGGGTGGTATTTTATCCTCATAGGGCAAGTGACTGAGACGTTTCGTAGTAATTATTAATGACGATTGGAATTTACTAATTGGAAGGATAATTAATAGTTATTTTATTGATTCGGTTTATTAACAGACTTATTTAGCATTAAATCAATTCGATAACGAAACTTCACTACGCTATCGTGTATTGTAGTTTTACGGAGCACCAGCTGACCTATTTTTACTGTTGTTCTTTTAGATTATCGGGTAAATCTTTCAACATACAAATGAAGGAAGCACCCTGTTGTGTAAAACTTGAAGCTTGTTTATTGTGGATATACAGAGTATATTATTTATGGCTATAACGTTAACCTGGTGAAACGTATTATACTTTCTATATTCAATAGTAAGTTGTTTTTTTAAAATTCAAAACACTGTCCACTTAATGACGCGAAATTATTTTATTTCCCCATTTGAACGTTTCTAAAAACTTAAACCACTTTCAAACTATTGTAATTTGTTAGGCCTAAGTTTCTAAATGACTATATATGCCTAACAACATTACTAATTTACTACAACTAAAGTATAATAAGTTCACTTACTTGTACAAAGTATCGCGATAACTCTAATCTCGACTAACTTTCAACTCTACTAACCCGACGTTTCACTGAACGTCGTTTTTCTAATCTACTCTCGTTCTAGATACTTCTAGGGCTAACGTGAACTTTTTTGATTCTCACATTGCATCACCAAAACCCCGCAGCTCCCTCTATTTAACAAATATATCACAACTTTAAAAATATCGAGCTTACAACATTACAGTATAACGGGAACTAGGTAGGATTAAAGGTATGCAGAGCCAATTTAGCAAGTAATATCAGTGTCTCACTTTATTGAATACAAGTCACGTTTGGTCAGTTATCAATAATTTGAGACTTGTTTAATAAGGGAAACTTCGTTTTATAGCTCCAACTCTTAAACCGTATGGTTTGTCCGAGGGGCACTAATGATATGTTTGGAAATATTAGTTTGCTTTTCTTTAAATTTCGCGCAAAGCAACACGCTAGATGTCCCTAATCTGGCAGTGACAGAATAGAGGGAAGGCAATTATTCATCACCACCTACTGTCAACTCTTGGGCTGCTCTTTTGTTAGCGAATAGTGGATTGGCTGTCACATTATAACGCTCCCACGGCTGAAAGGGCAAGCATGTTTTGTTTGACAATATTAGAAAATGGCTCGAGTTCAAAAATACCCTGGTTATTAATAGCATACTGTTATATATATTGCTGCGTCAGCGAGATCACGTGACTATTTTGACGCCTCCTATTTTCTAGAAGTATCTTGTTCCTTCGTGAATGCCCTAGCATTTACTAGATATATATTAGTCTGGTATATATATATATATATATATATATATAAGAT